ACTCAGGTGTGTTGAAGTAGACACACATCTAAAAGTTGCAGGAGACCGGCCCTCGAGGCCTGGAGTTGCCCACCACTGCTTTAGACATTTGTTTTGAATTCATTTTTTTGTTTCTTCTTTTACAAGCTGATCGTTCAGATGTCTTTGTGCTGATGAAGCTGATCATCAGCTTCAGCTGACTTCACGTGGTGGCTGACCGAGTATTTATACTAATTTACATATTTATTTATGGAGGCGACAGGGCGGACCAGCAGCTGTGCTCAATTTCCCGCAAATTGGTATGCACAAAGGAAAGATGCGCAGCCACGTGCGTGCGCACGGCTTTATACGTTTTAAGGTTAATTAAACCTTTTAAACCTTTAAACGTTTAACCTTTTTCCGTTTAAAGGTTAACCTTTAATTCTTCATTGTCTGACAGAAGATCAGACTTTATTTTTACAACATCAACTAAAGATGCACCAATCCCTTATTAATATCAATTCAGCTGTTTTTCTGTATTGGATTGATATCTGCTGACACTAAACCTCAGACATTTGTATCCATACCAGAAGTGAAAAAAGTGGATCACTGCGTCTCTAACCTTCACCTGATGTTTCTTGAGAAATCAGCTTTGGTCATCTAACTCTCAGAGAGACAATCATCTCTCTCTGAGCATTTCAGCCACACTTTTGTGTGTGCTGTTTGCACAATTACACAGTAAAAAAATTACCAACAAGATTTTGGTTTATTTTGTCTGAAAACCAAGAGCAGACATTTTCTGCATTTACTTTTTCCCAGTGGGTTTCTTGAGATAATGAATGAATCTCAAGAAAACCAAGTTTGTTTTGTTTTCTTGAGCTCTACTTCTATGTTTCTTTGATTTCCTGCACAGGTTTTCTGTGAAGAACTGTAATGCATTACAGGTCAACACATTTATCTCTGCAGTGTACCGTTATATTGCCAAAATCCTCTAGGTTTATCTCAGGCAGTGTTCAAAGCTGTTTCCATGTTACTTACTGGACCACCATGTAACGAAAGAACTGTTATCTTAATGTAGCCACTGTTACAAAGAAATAACTTTCGCATCAGTTATTGAAATATTATGTACATAAGGTGTTCAACCTTCCCTCAACAGTAAAATGCTAGCACAAACTTCAGCTCTATGGAGCCTGAAGACTGAGCTTTCTTCTTGCAGACCCATATAACACAAATCAAACAACCTGCCAGGTATAAAAAAGACCCACAGAAAGATTACATGCCTGTATCTGTCCATGTCCAGCTTGTTGCCCACCAGGATGATGGGAGTCTGGGAGCTGAAGGTGTTCTTATGGATGGAGAGAGTCTGCAGGTACAGCTGGCAGCCTTTAAAACTCTCCATGCTGTTGATGCTGTAGACCACCAGGAAGGCATTGGCCCATGACAGATAGCGCTCACAATTCACTGGACCCTCCTACACACACGTACATGCACACACACACATTCATGACAATTTATCTTTTCACCATTAAGCCAAAACTGTTTTTTTCCGCTTGAATAAATAAACAGCTGAGAATGACTTCAGGGATTAATTCCTTTGAACTTGGCTGAAGTGGCACAATATTCATGAAATGATTCATAACAATTTGTTTTGCAAGCTGGAAAACTGTTAAATTTGCTAATAATTTTGGTTATTATTGGCAAGAAGATGATATTGTTGTATTTCTCTTTATTCAATATGTTGAAACACTAAAGGAACGTGCTAACAAGGTCACAAACATCATCTGTTACACCAGCTTAGTATGATAAAAACTTCCAGAAGTGCTAATAAATACTTAACACATGCAATTTTCACATTATAGACCATCATGGGAAAACATGACGTCATTAAATTGGCTGCAGTCATATGGTGGCACTGAAATGAAAGTATTGTTTACAAGAACTTCAGGTCAGCATTACATTTACTCCTAAAACAAATCCTCCTCCACGTGGCTTTCAGATGATCTGGGGCCTCATACATAAAACGTGTGTGCGCACAAAAAAAGTGCGGTCCCATATTTTACGCAAAAGTCGACATGTATAAAAATTAACTTTGCGTCAAGGTTTGCGTAAATATACGCACAATTTTTGGCTGGCGTGAAAATGTGCGGCAGCCACTCAAACATTTTCTGTGGACAATATCAAACTACAAAGCATCAAAACTCACCGAAATACACTTAAAGTCTGACTGCATTCGGTGTTATTTAAACCAAGCACCATACCGATGTTTTTCATGATTTTAATATTTTATTGTTTAAAGTAAACAATGAAACTGAACCGCATTTATCCTCAGACAATAAGCTAACACACACACAAAATAAATAAAATAAAAATAGAAGTATGTGAAAACCTCGCTCGAATGTAAATAGTACTTTTCCTCAGTTTTTGTCTCATAAAGATGTAACACATTGGTCTGTGAGCCGAAGCGCATGAATTGCATCTGTGGGATAATTTCATTCTCACTAAAAAAAGAAAACGGGGTTGGATCAGCAGATTAACTCAAACCTGCTGATTA